GAGGGCCAGGGGCCGCCCACCCTCTCATCTCCGCTCGGGGCCGCGCAGGCCCGGGAGCAGCCGTGGGGGGCGGGGCCGGGAGACTGGTTTGGCGGAGGAGAGTGACTTGGGGGTCCCAGGAATGCAGTTCTCGGGGCCGCCGGCTGAGGCCGGGTTTTCAGTGCTTGGGGTGGGGCGGGGGAGAAAGAGCAGAATCTCTTCCTTTAGGGTTGGGCTTGGCTCTGCCCTCAGTTTATTATTATTATTATTATTTTCGTGTCATTTATCGAGATATTACTCCTTTTTTTCTTTTAAATAAAATGGATTTTTTCTTGACCTTTTTTTTTTAAAAAGGTCAATCTTTGCAGCAGTATAAACTAGAGAAAAAGCTAGGTCCCTGGTCTCTACTTACTCCCTACCCCGAGATATAACCATTGCTAACAGTTTAGGTTAAAGTAGTTTTTTGTGACTATCCTTCCATCGTATTTTACAGAAAGGAGAACACACTACAGTCAGCTGGGCGGTCACACCGTGCGGTTCCCTCGATTCGGCCGGCCCCGCCCCTTGAGAGCCTGGGCTTCGTCTGGTGAGACCCAGCCGTGGAGCTAATACCTGTACACTTCGAGGGTCACGTTCTTGGGCTTCAGTGTTGGTGTAGGTTTGGGGGTTTTGTTTTCTTGTTTTTTAAATTCAGGTAGAAATCTCATCTCAGCCTGAGGATTGCAGATGTTTCTCAGTGAGGTTCCCACCCCAGCCTCCAGATACATGAGACAACACGGGCCTGGCCCACAGCAGTTGCCTTCAGATCTTCCCAGAAGTGACTTCATGTGACCTTAATTGGGCCTGTTTCCCCTGAGTTACCCTTTCTGTAGGGAATCAGTGCAGGTGTCTGTTAAGCCTGAAGGCTCTGGAGTCAGCCTGGGGACTAATCAGAAAGATCTGGGTTTGAATTCTGGTTTGGCCGCTATCCACTTCTTGAGTGAGTGACTCAAGCAAATTACTCAGCTTCTCCAGCTCTTAACTTCCTTGTCTGGAACACGGGCATTGAGTAGAAATCAAGAAATACTGACCTCATGTGGCTGTTGTGAGCAGTAAGTGAAATACAGTGGGCCCTCCGTATCCTTGGTTCTGAATGTACAGAGGAACCAACCTCAGATGGAAAATAGTCGAAAAAACATTCCTGAAAGTTCCAAAAGACCTAAACTTGAATTTGCTATGCTCTTGCAACTCTTCACATAGCATTTATGTTTTATTAGGTATTATTAATAATCTAGTGATGATTTAAAGTGTACGAGAGGATGCGTGTAGATTATACAAATACTGTGTTACTTTATGTAAGAGACTTGAGCATACGTGGATTTTGGCATCTGCAGGGGTCCTGGAGCCAATCCCCGGGCAATACTGAAGGCTGACTGTATTAGCACAGCTTGGCATTCATGGCTAGCCTTGGTTACCTCTGATTTCCTCCTATCCGCCTCACAGGCCTCTCTCTAACCCTGAAATGCTCTCTTCCCTAACCTTCTGCCCTCCTCATGCTCCTCACACTCCATCCCTGGGTTTCAACTGTTACCCACACTCATCCACCCATCCTCTTGCTTTGGAACTAAAGTTGATTAATTAAAAGAATTCTGAGTTCCCCTCAAATTTTTTTGTATGTCAGTTATCTATATAGTCTCTGTGTATTCTCTTTCCTTCCTGTCTTGAAGACAGATGTGATGGCTGGAGCTGGGGAAGCTATATTATAACTATGGGGCAACAAGCATGAAGATAGAGTGGAGGATAGAAAGAACTTAAGTCCTTGATGTTTGACCAGTGCGAGTCCTCCTACTTCTGGACTTCCTCTAAGGAAATAATGAATAGCCACTGTTGGTAGAGTTTTCTGTGACTTGAGATTAAAAACATGACTCACTGTTACAGCAGATGACTCAGGTCTTCCTTGGGGTTTTGTTGGTATTTTGGAGAGATATCTTTCTTCTACAAGAATCTTGAGCTATAAAATCTAGGAAAGCTTAGAACTGCCAGTAAAGAAAATAGAACCAATAGAAAAGAGGTACAGAGCTCTGCGGTGTCATTTGAGCTGCCTAGATCTAGCCATGTCCAAAGCCGAATATCCTCTGTTGGGTTTAACAGTTGGGAGAATAAATGAGTGAATACAAAAATAAATATCTTTTTTCCCCTGAGGCTAGTTAGAAGAAACTCTGGAAGGATACTGAGTTATCTTTTGTGGCATAGCAGATCACCCCAAAACTTAATGGCTGACAACAATAATTGCAATAAGGGCTAAAAAGAAAGGTGCTATCAAGCCGTGCAAAGACATGGAGAAACTTACATGTGTATTACTGAGTGAGAGAAGCCAATCTTAAAAGGCTATGCGTTGTAATATTCCAACCATATGACATTCCAGAAAAGGCATAACTGTAGAGACAGTACCACGATGGTTGCCAGGAGTTATGGGAGAGGGTGGGATGAACAGGTAGAGCATGGAGGTTACCGGATAGCGAAACTATTGTGTATGATACTATAGTGGTGGATACAAGTCGCTATACATTTGTCTAAAACTGTGGTGTGTACAAGAATGAACTCTGATGTAAGCGATGAACTTTGGGTGATTATAACGTGTTGGTTCATCAGTAGTAACAAGTATACCACTCTGGTCAGTATATTGAGTGAAATCTCTTGAGAGACCCTGAACCAGAATCACTCAGCTAAGTCAGTCCTGAATTCCTGACCCACAGAAGCTGTGAGATAATAAACATTTGTGGTTTTAAGCTGCTAAATTATGAAGTAATTTGTTAATGCAGCAATAGAAACCTAACACATTCAGAAAAATTCCATAGGTGGGGAAGGTTTGGAGCAGGGGATTCAAGCAAGGCCTGTTTCTCTCCCCTGTGCTTGGAGATGCATCATCTGACCCACCAGAGTCTCCATCCTCACGCACACATTCCCACATTGTGCGGCCCTCTGCCGAGTTGGGGGACTCTCCTGCCCAGGCTTCTGCTGAGGCTTTCTTCCTGTTACTTGGTGTCTTCTGCCTTCTCATTATCTGAGGACATGTCTTACCTCTATTACCGACAGCTGTATCTCACTGATCTTTGCATTTCCCGTACCACCTCACTCAGGACCTTGCACATAAAAGCCAAAGTCCTGCATGTGTCAGAGCATTGGCTCTGGAGCTCCGTGGTTCCGATTCTAGATCACTGATGTATTAGCTGGAGAACTTTCTTAACCTCTCTGCGCCTCAGTTTCCTTAAATGTAAAATAGGGGAAATAATAGTAACTATTTCATAGGGTTGTAGTGAGGATTAAAATATGTTGACACAAGTAAAGCATTTGGAACCATGCCTGATGCGTGGCAACTACTCCATAAATATCAGTTATTAGGTTGAATCATATAAAGTTGTCATTTTTCTGGGTCAAAAAACTAAATATTGGCAATGTCATGTATTTTAACCTAGTAATAGTATCTTTGACCAGAGTTATATTTGAAGAAACAGTCCAGTAACCAACCAAAATTGTTACTAATGGCTCTAGAATAACGTCAAAGAGAATCCAAATGAGAACTCAGAGCACATCTTAAAATTCTTCCTTCATTCCTTTTACTGCTACCAGGAAACCTTTCTCTACCACTCATTCTAACCTCCCAACAACAACAAAAAAATCTCTGCCCCAACAGCCCACCTCTCATAGCCAGCCAAAGTGGGTGACTGCCTGCCCTTCCTTCAACTTGCCTTTGTTCACCTCTTCCTCTTAGTGAATTTCTCCCAGTCCTTTTTGATGCAGATCCCTGGGTTTGTTGTCCTGGTTGTCTCTCTTTTCCTCTCTCTCATTCAAAAACCCAGATGTGGTAGTGCCGAAAACTGGCTTCTTAGGGAGCAGAAGGGAGGGGAGAGGAAATTCCTTTTTTCTTTTTAAGAAATTTTCATGGCGGCAAAGACACGTAACATGAAGTTTACCATCTTAACCATTTCTGAGTGTACCGTTCAGTAGAGTACACTCACATTGTTGTGCAACCCATCTCCACAATTTTTTCGTTG